TGTTCGCGTCACACGTGAACGCGCAATGTCCCCTATGGTTTTCTCTGAGGGAACAGGACGAGCCACCGCTGGGAAGAGACGCATTCGCGCACTACCCATGGCCGAAAGTTCTCCTGTATGCATTCCCTCCGCTGTCTTGCATTCTCCCACTGCTAGCCAGCATGAGGTCAGAGGGGCTGTCAGTGATACTGATAGCGCCCGATCGCCCGGGGGCTCCGTGGTTTGCGGAGATGAGTCAGATGTTGATTGCGCCACCTTGGCCAATTCCACATCGACGGGACGCGTTGACCCAGGCGGGAGGCTCGATAGGGCAGTGGCCCATAATCGGCCAACCACTGAAGGCTTGGTTCCTGAATGGGACAGGTTCAGGCGCCGTGGGTTATCTGATGCAGTGATCAGAACCATACAAGGTGCACGAGCCGGTTCCACTTCTAGGATGTATACCAGCAGATGGAACGTTTTTTCACGATGGTGTGACACACAAGGTGTGGACCCCATGAACTGTCAGGTTGAGAGTGTGCTCTCTTTTCTGCAGTTTATGTTTGATAAGCAGAAATCGCCCTCCACCATTAAAGTGTTTGCAGCGGCAATTTCAGCTGGTCATGAGGGGTTTGGCGGAACGAATGTGTTCAGCCATCCTTTAGTGAAACGTTTCTTATTGGGAACGCGGCGGCTTAGGCCAATGCCTAGAGCCACGCTGCCCCATTGGGATTTGGCCTTGGTACTCGAAGCGCTATGTAAGTCGCCGTTCGAGCCATTGAATCAAATACCCCTCAAGATGCTGTCTATCAAGACAGCGCTGTTGCTCGCCTTGACTACCGCTAAGCGTGTCAGTGATTTGTGTGCCCTGTCGACGAGACCCGACTGCCTTGCCATTAATGGCGATCTGAGCAGAGCGGTGTTACGTCCTAACCCGGCGTTTGTGCCGAAGGTTATTAACAGTGCATATAGATCACAGACCGTGGAGTTGTGGGCTTTTTCTCCCCCTCCTCATGGGGAGAGGAGTGAGGAAAAGCTTCATTGTCTGTGCCCAGTGCGCGCTTTGGCGTGTTACGTTGAGCGCACAGCAGCGATTAGGTCATCGCCTCAGCTGTTTGTGTGTCACGGTGCGGCTGCATTAGGTAGACCACTTTCAAAACAGCGATTGTCTCATTGGCTTTGTGAAGGTATTGAGACAGCTTACGAGGCAGCGGGGCGACAACTGCCTCAGGGTATCAGAGCTCACTCCACTCGTGGAGTAGCAGCTTCTACTGCCCTCTTCAGAGGAACAGGGGTAGAGGATATTTGTAGAGCAGCGTCATGGTCGACACCGTCTCCTTTTATCAGTTTCTATCTATTAGATATGTCTTCTAACTCTTTGGCTCGATCTGTACTCAGCGTGGCTGAAGGGAGATCTTGAGCAGGAAAGAGAGGAAAAAAAGCAGGACTGTGGACATGGGTGTCCATCAGGTCCGCTTTGGTCAGGAAGACATATTCTGTTTCTATCTATGAGATATGCCTTCTAACTCTTTGGCTCGATCTGTACTCAGCGTGGCTGAAAGGAGATCTTGAGCAAGAAAGAGAGGAAAGAAGCAGGACTGTGGACATGGGTGTTCATCAGGCCCGCTTTGGTTAGGAAGACATATTCTGGACAGATATGTTTTCTAACTCTTTGGCTCGGTCTGTACTCAGCAAAGCTGAAAGGGGATTTTGAGCCAGGAAGAGAGAATAAAGCAGGACTATGGGAAGGTTCCCATCAGGTCCGCTTTGGTTAGGAAAACATGTTTTTTGATAGATAGGCTTTCTATCTCTATGGCTCGATTGTACTCAGCATAGCTGAAGGGGAATCTTGAGCTAGAAGAGAAAAGAGCAGGACGATGGACACAGGTTTCTATCAGGTCCGCTTTGGATGGAAAGCATATCTTGTGGCATGTCTCTTGACTGACAGGGTCAGTATAGTAGAGACATGTATTGAATTGACAGAATGTGAGGTCATCTATCTGAGTGTTCAGTTTAGCATGACTTATATTTTGTTCCTGCCTACTAATCTCTGGGATTCCATTGAGTGAGTGAGGTGGTCTACTGTGTACATAATGTAGAGTGACACTTGGTGTCATTCCATTAGTGGTCGGTAGTGTTTTCACAGGATATTGAGGCACATCTATCTGCTAGTACAGATTAGTGTAGCTTCTATTCTGGTGATCTGCCCACTAGTCATTGGCATTGCCATTGAACTAGGTGGGGCGGGTCTTTAACCGATGACGCGGTATATTGTGACGCCCGGAGGGGTTTTTAGTTGCAGTACTGCGGGAATTGGTTGCGGCCATTGCTAGGCTTGACCTTTTCATTTTTTAATGGGAAGTGTTAGGCTCGGCAGGGAGTACATTTTGGAGCGCTACGCTCCGCCTTAAACCACTAGGAGCAGAGCTCCCCTATGGGGCGGAGCTCCACGATATAGAATGATTAGTTACCGGAGTGTAACTCCAGTTCTATGAGTGGAGCGGAGCCCCATAGGACTTAAGGCCCTGCCGACCCTCTCTAGTCTCGCTGAAGATAATATCTCGGGAGGCTGATTGAGGGGAAGCGTCCCCTCTTGTAGGGACACCTGTGCTCCCATTGGCTGCAGGTGTGTGCATAATTTTGCTTCAGGCTGTTGCTGCCTTAGGGCAGAGGGTAAACCACTAGGAGCAGAGCTCCCCTATGGGGCTCCGCTCCACTCATAGAACTGGAGTTACACTCCGGTAACTAATCGTTCATCCTGCTGCTTGTGGCAACATCATATGGCTAAGTCTCAGTTTAACTTGGTCTCTTGATTTCTAGAACTTCGAGACCGCTGTTCAAGAAAACGTGTTGATGATCAGACATGTGAGTAGGCTCCTGAGGAAAAGGGTGAGCATATCTCTGTGGCATATTTCCTAAATGTGTCGCCTATAAACAAAGATAGCTATTGCCTTTCAATTGAACAGATGAAATCTCTGTGTACTATCAACCACAATGAAATGAGTTCGTTATTCTCCCCTTTAGATCAGTTGTTTTGAAGATAGTAAACATGTTTTACACTAAAACTAGAATATCTGTTCAATGCACCTGTGTACCCCATAACTTGGATGTTTCTGGGAAACCATTCATGCTGGCTGCATATGATATCAAAGCATTTAAAATGTAGCCTACTGTAATTGTGAGCACAGATCGTTTTGATTCTAGCTAAGCAGCTCAAGGCACATGGAAGAGTTTGTTGCTCAATCTATTGACAATTGTTGGTACGGTATGTAGATGTTTAGTTCCCACATTCCCACTAAACAAATAAGTTAATTCAGAAAGACTTTCAAATTATTTTACAACAGTATAATATCACTTCTTAGACGATGAATGCAGTGCATTTTACAACCTGCTGGATAAGAATATTGTGGAAACGGCTCGGAAACGACGTAAATGTCCTAAAGAGATCCTCCCATATGCCCTTCCCAAGTTCTCATGATATTGCAATTGTTTGATAGTCAGTGAACTTTCTCTTTTCAGAAGTCATGATGAACTTATTGGACGCTGTACCTTGTATGTTTAAGCCAGCCAGCGCAGTAATGAAGGTAACAGGACAGTCTATATAGCTGTCTCCTATTATTTCACACTCATTACACCCTCTTCTATCCAACATAAGTGTATGTTCCAAATATGACCACGGTTGTGAGTGACTGGTGACAGAAGTCTGTCTGCTGTAAAGTCTCTCCAGGTGGTGCAGCAGAGGGCCAGGGGCCTGAGACAGGTGCTGAACATGCGTCCCACAGCCAAGTCCCTGGAGGTGTTTGGTGAGGTGTTCAGCAGCAGGCCCAACAGAGAGGACAAGACAGCTAGCAGGACCAGACCACCCATCAAGAGAGCCATAGTACCGATCACTGCACCTGTACACAGCCCATCTGAAATTAGCCCACCCAACTACCTCATCCCTATATTGTTATTTATTTTGCTCTTTTGCACCCCAGTATCTCTATTTGCACATAATCTCTTGCACATCTAGCATTCCAGTGTTAATACTAATTGTAATTATTTTGCACTATAGCCTATTTATTGCCTTACCTCCATAACTTGCTACATTTGCACACACTGTATATATATTTTCTGTTGTATTTTTTTGACTTTATGTTTTTTTTTTACCCCATATGTAACTCTGTGTTGTTGTTTTTATCGCACTGCTTTGCTTTATCTTGGCCAGGTCGCAATTGTAAATGAGAACTTGTTCTCAACTGGCTTACCTGGTTAAATAAAGGTGAAATAAAAATAAAAATAAAATAGTGCAGGCAGAGCTCAGGAACAACTATGCTCCTATTTGTGATTGGAAGGATGCAATACTGTAGTATTACAAACAAGTGATGGCGTTTATGTTCGCAGAAGTCTGTGATACAATATCGCCCTCACATGGTGGATAATGGGAACTGCATACTGTATGTAGAGTGTATATTTGTCTATAGAATAACTTTTTAAAACAGTCCACTTTTTTGCTTGGGTATTATTTTTTGTACAACATTTGTCACAGTGTTGAGGTCATCCTCTGTTGTAGGTTTATGAGAATATAAGAATACATGCTGTAACAGCCAGATTGAACATTTTTTAAAAATGTTCTTAAACTTTCTGAAACATTGTGGGAACGAGCATCTGGGCCTAAAATGTAAAGGAAATGTATAAAACATATTTTGTTTTGAATAACAAACCTACATCTATTTGAAACAATTTAACAAGCACTTTTAAACGCAAGTAAATGTTTTTGCCGCTTTGCTCTCGTCTCAACCCTAAAAGGGCGTCAGACGCTATTTAGCACGTGATTTAAAATAAATATAGACGGTTTCAATGAAGCGGCAAGTGCACTTTGAACAAGTGAAACTGTTTGTCTCGCGTACACGCCGTCTCACTTTTGTAGGCTATATATTGGAACTTGCTACCTGAAATAAAACTTTCAAAAGCGACTTGTTTTTTTATACATTTCATATTTTAAATAATCTATGTAGGCTAAACGTATTATTGCGTCTGTGATGTCTGACTGCGATATTTCTAGCGGCTTTCTGCACATCAATGATCAAAGCAGTTTTATGCTTCAAAGATGCGAGGTAAGTGTCAAATACACAAAAATTGTAGGCTAACGTTTAATGGTTTATACAAATATTCATTTTTATATTTTTTGTCAGTCTATACAATTTATCACAATGGAATCTTTGTTAAATATATACAAATAAGAAACTAGCCTATTTATCATGTCATGCGGATTAACCGGACATTTGTAGAAACGATTGACAAATGCAATAGTAATCAGCATCATTGTGTTGAGTGACCACACTAAACTTAATCTGGGAGGGAGTAGCAGCGGTGTGTGATATTCTGACTAACAGTGTAGCATTCTGTACCTTTGCTGCAGAGCTGTGGTGATGAAGATGATGACGAGAGACTAAAAAGAAGGGTAAATAACAGGGTGGCAGCGCAGAAGAGCCGAAAAAGACAGACACAGAGAGCAGATGAGCTGCATAAGGTGGGTCTGTACGTGCAAAACAGACTCCTTATGGTCTCACAACTATCTTGGCATAGTCTAACCTTTTCTCTTATATGACAGAAATAACGCAGCTATCAATGTCACACTTATTCTCTGAGTCAAGTAGATTCATATTTTATTCTACTCGGAAAGTAAGATTATAAAGTAACAGCCCAGTTTGTCCCATACAGGCATATGAGTGTCTGGAGCAGAAGAACAGGCGGCTGAAGAAGGAGGTGCAGTTTCTGTATGAGGAGCAAAGGCGTCTGACTGAGGCCCTCAAGGCCCACGAGCATCTCTGTCCCATCATGCACTGTGTTCCCAACCTGGGGTCAGGGCCCAGGGATGTAGGGGTCCTCTCCAGCCTTCCCAGATAGCCACCATATCACGCCAGGACCACAGAGACAAACCAACATGGGAGACATGTAAACAGAGTTAACAGGTCAGATTATTTATGTCCTCCTCTGTCCTTTGTACTCCCTGTGTCAATTATTTTGTATAGCTTGAATCAAGTTGTAATCAAATGATTATAGGCTGAAGTAATTAACTTTGTTTCAGATGTTCAAATTGCTTGTCCTGTTTTAAATGTTTTGTATAATAAATTGCAAATACATTGCATATCCCTCTCCCATTAGACAATCTCCCTTTGAGTCTGATAAATGTGGTTACCACACCTTTAATCACTTGTGTTCTTGAACTGGTTTACCAGTATCTGGGTTTCCTGTTTTGGGTTTCCTTATTCCCTATTCTAAAACATGTAATACACTGGCTATTACCAATGCATTTATGAATTTCAACACTTAATTGAAAAATTAGATAATCAAATCACTTAATCCAAATATCATATGTACAGTAATATTATATTTTTTTGTTAACTCATGTTATTACATTGTTGAGGTTACCCACTGTTTCTTCCCTATAATGTGGGTAAACACTCACAAACCTCATTATGTCTTCTCATACATTTTAATAATGTATGGTTCTGTATTTATTTTCTTAGTCAACCTTGTGTTTTTGAACGTAGCCCTGTTTCTTTGTGTTCTTGAACGTAGCCCTGTCTTTCATTTTTGTTCATTGATTTCACCTGTGTTAGTTACTCACCTGATCTCATCAGCTCCTTATTTAGTTCAGTTCATTCTGTTTGTGCCTTGTGAGGTATTGTTCGTTTTGACTCTACTAAGCCTTTTCCTAGCTCGTTTGTAAGAACCAGTTATACCCTTCAGTCCTAGTTTTGATTCACCTGCTTGTTTGCCTACCGGTGTATGACCATTGCCTGCTTGTGACCATGATTCCTGCCTTCTGCGAATGCGAAATAAACACCTGCCACGCTCTGTGCGTGAATCTACACCTTTTTCTCCCTGAGTATTCATTACAAATAATGTGTGAAACCGTTTGAAAAATGTCATTATCATTCACTTATAGTTAACTCGCTTTTGGGAATTCTTGTCAACATCAATGATCTACAGTACGTTATGGTCTATCTTGATGACATGACTGCAGGCTTCTTTTAGATGTTATTGTGGATTGATGTATACATTCCCAGTAGCCTAGTATTTGGCAAGGCTTATTCTAAGAAATGCAGGCTGACCAATGAGAGAAGTGAAAGACTCTTCAGCCACACAGGCAGAGCATTCACATTTACATTTACGTCATTTAGCAGACGCTCTTATCCAGAGCGACTTACAAATAGGTGCATTCACCCTATAGCCAGTGGGATAACCACTTTACAATATCTTTTTTTTTTTTTTTTTTTTTTTAGGGGGGGGGGGGGGGGGGGGGGGTAGAAGGATTACTTTATCCTATCCCAGGTATTCCTTAAAGAGGTGGGGTTTCAAATGTCTCCGGAAGGTGGTGAGTGACTTCGCTGTCCTGGCATCGTGAGGGAGCTTGTTCCACCATTGGGGTGCCAGAGCAGCGAACAGTTTTGACTGGGCTGAGCGGGAACTATGCTTCCGCAGAGGAAGAGGAGCCAGCAGGCCAGATTTCATACCAGATGAATCTATAGACTTCAGTATAGTGTATTTGAGGGTGATTGTGGTGATTATCATAAAGCCTTTTGTGTGGATCACTTCTTAAAAAATGGTTTATTTCCCACATTTAAGTAACATGCACTTCTTAGTTATTTTCTATTCTAACTTTCAAATTAGCACAGATTACTCGGACATAAACCATACACAACACAGGTTACTACTTTCAGTTCAGTCCAGGAGATTTTGGGGCATAATATGGTATTTCACATGCCATTTTTTATGCTCTTCAGTAAGAATATTAGTTTACACATTCAGGTTAACATGACTTCATTTTCAGTATAACTCAGTGTATAGCCTAACTGGCATATCACATCCTCCACTTCCTTCTCCTTCATTGGCAGGTATACAGTAGATACCCTACATTCATATGAAAAAATATTTATGTTAACGGCATAAAAACAGAGCATACTTATTTAAAAATGATCGTTATTGTCTGTGTGTGCCCCATCGCTGTCAGATCTGGTAGCCAAGAAGCATAAACTCGACATTTTACTGCTCTCTAGTGGCTGAACCATGAGAGACAAATATTGTACTTTTACAGTATGATGAATTTCCTGTCCATTGTTGTTCCTGTGTACATGTATGGGGCATGAACTTTCAGAGGAACTTAAACATGTTTTTGTTGAATATACTGTGTACAATTTCCTGTACCTTCCAACTCAACTTGAGAAGTTGTGGTGGAGGAAGGAATTTTGTTTGCCAATGAATATTGTCTAGATGCGTAGCTCTGGCATACGGAGTGCCCAGTGTGACATATCGTCAGTCTTTGTGACAAAGTTCTAATGAATTTCAAATGTATAATGTATATTAGCAGTTATACAGCTAATTTCCTGCAATTCTACACATTTTGCCATTACATATGCCATGTTAATATGATATCTGAGTGAGAGTGACTAACAAAATCAATGGGGCCCCTTAGAAGTCAGGGCCCCTGGACACATGCCCTTTGTGCCTGGTCGATAATTCGACCATGATTACTACAAGTTAAGATAGCTGGCTAGACTAATTTACCAATCTAAAGCTGACATGGGCTAATTGAGTGACTGTCAGTTGCTAGGTTTCCATCCAATTGGCGACAGATTTTCATGGGAATATTCAAACATCTGCATTTTCCCACCAGAGATGTGTTTCCATCAAATTGACTTGTTGCAGATAAAAGGCTGTGCGTGATGATGTAGTGCACATAAAAATACCTTTTGCTTTCAAATTCCCATGTACCGAATAAATGGGTTTCCATTGCATTTTAAATTCTACTGAAGGTTTTCTCACAAAACATTTTGCGTTATATAGTGAGTTTGCCCACTTTGGTATTGACACGTGCTCTAGCCAACAGCGCGTGGGGCGCAGATACAGTACTGTAGCGCACGTATGATGTAGCCTACATGATGAGATTATTATGGACAAAAGAGCGAGATTATTTTTAGTTGTCAAAAGGCAGACAAGCATCGATGATCATGTCACCAGAATAAGACCCTCAATAAGGAGCATCAAGCTCATCACCTTGAACTTTCACCATCCTGTGAAGTTCACCATTTATTTAATCTGCAGCCTAATAAACTGTATATTTTCCCGACAAGTCATAGTGGGGGGACCACACAACATGCCATCTCGTGACTCCAAGTTTAGTTCGATATGATGGTTATTATGTAAACATTTGCGCATAAAAGCATTTCCACAGAAATGTTTCGCATAATTCCTTTTACCGACACAAAAAGATCCCACCTTGTCTAGCGTATTTTGTTTTGTCTACATTTGGAAAGTTTACTGAAAAATTAGCTGTTTCTATCAGGCTGGTCAATACATTTTTTTATCCGACATGCACTTTACTGGCATAAAAAGGTTGAATGGAAACTGTTGGTGCTGTCATCTTCAGGACAGGAATACCGGCTTACTTAACGGAGGAATAAACACACATGTTCATCGTTGGTGTTTCAACCAGAACGCGGGAAAATGCCCTTTCTTTATTTTCGCACATGCGCAGTTGTACATCTCTCATAGGGCATAACTGTACCAGTGTAAGAACACAATTTATAACATATTAGTCTATATGTTAACACCCCCACTTGCTCTTATACTGTACAAGTCGTATTCAACCTAACTATCAACACATTTAGCTTACAGTTATACATCTCACAAATGTCAGTTTACATTCCAAACATATAACCCAATAATTTTTCATTTTTGAACTTCGTTACAGGTTTAGTCAAAACATCTGCAACCATGTCTGCCGTTGGACAATATTCAATACTTATTTTGCCATCACTGAGCGCAGATCGAATGAAATGATATCTGATGTCAACATGTTTACATCTCTGACGACATACTGGGTTCTTTGACAGAGCAATTGCACCTTGGTTATCTTCAACGATTGTTACTGGTGCATATTGGCACTCACTATCCATCTGGCCCAATAACTGTACAAGGTACAAACTTTCTTGTGTAGTAGCAGCCAGTGCCATGTACTCTGCTTCACATGTAGATAAAGCTACTGTTGGCTGCTTCTTAGACCTCCATGAAATAACAGGTCCACATTTAGTTAAACTAAAACAATACCCTGTTATGCTTCGTCTGTCACTTTGATCTGCTGCCCAATCAGCATCACTATATGCTACGAGGTTGAGTTTTTCCACCCCCTTTTTGTAACACAACTCCTGATTCATTGTCCCCTTCAAGTACCTCAACACATGTTTAGCTGTTATCCAGTGTTGCTCTTTTGGTTCTGATAGGTATTGTGACAGCTTGCTGACAATCCAACTGATATCCGGTCTTGTACATGTCATAAATAATAACATATATCAAGCTGCCTATCACTTCACGATACCTTTTTGAATCAATAGGTTCACCATCACCATCAAAGTTTGTTTTTTGTTCACATGGTGTTGACCTTGTTTTACAGTCTGACATACCAAACCTTTCCAGTATCTTGGTTATGTACCTTGTTTGGCTCATCTTTATTTTCCCTTCACTTTGTGTAAAATCAATGCCTAGGAAATGTCTAAGCCTCCCAAGATCTTTCATCTTAAATGTTTCACTTAACATTTCTTTTACACTTGTGAGTGAGTCACTATCACTAGCAGCGATAATTAGATCATCGACCCAAATTATCAAAATGATTCTTTCTGTTGCAGTTTGTTTGTTGTAAACACAGTGATCAGCTGGGTTCTGTGTAAAACCATTTTCACTAAGGTGATCATGCAACATTTTGTTCCAGTTCCTTCCTGACTGTTTCAGGCCGTACAGTGACTTGTTCAGTTTGCAGACTAGTTGCTCACCTGTATCTGACCTGACTTCAAAACCCTCTGGTTGCTCCATGTACACTTCACAGTCAATAGGAGCATGTATATATGCTGTTTTGACATCCATCTGATGTAACTCTAAGTCATACTGAGCTGCTAGCTGCATCAAACAACGTACTGATGTCATATTTGCAGTTGGAGAAAAAGTATCCTTATAGTCTATTCCTGCCACTTGACTATATCCCTTTGCAACATATCTTGCCTTGTATGTCTCAGTCTCATCTGAATTGTTTTTGACCGCATAGACCCACCTGCCCCCCACTGCATTTTTACCCTCTGGCAGTGTGGTCAATGTGAATGTATCATTTTCCCTAAGGGAATCCATCTCCTCCTTCATAGCAGTAGCCCAAATCTCTGATTTTGGTGAAATCATTGCTTCTTTGAAGGTTTGTGGTGCATTGCACATTACTCTGTAGCAGTAGTCAACACTAGGTGGTATCTGGTCATCACACTTCACTTTACACTCATAGTCTTTTAAGTACTGGGGCTTCTTCCTCTCTCTGTCTGGATAGCGTGGACTCTGACTATCTGAAGTCTCGATTTGCACATCTTGTGTCTCTTCGGAATTTTGATCTGCCATCTTGGCTTTTGGCATGGGGGATTGAAATCTCTCCCCATGAAGATCATCACTCATTTCCAAATCTGTCTGAGTTTGGCGTTCGACTACACCTTTTGTAACGAACTTGACTAATCTGTTTTTAAGAACTTTTCCAGTGTCTGGGTAGTAGACTAGGTATGCTGGACTATTTTTATCATACCCGACAAAAATACCCTTTTCACATCTTGAGTCCAACTTTTTCTTGTTCTGTCTGTATGCATAGCAAACAGATCCAAATTCTTTCATCTTTGAAAGATCAGGCTTTCTCCCAGTAAACATGTAGTGTGGAGTCTGTCCTACACGCTTATTGTAACACCTATTGCGAATTACTGCAGCAGTCATTACAGCATATGTCCACAATTTCTTTGGTAGGTTGCTCTCAAGTAGCATGCATCTTGCCATTTCAAACAGTGTTCTCCAATTTCTCTCAGCGGTCCCATTTTGATGGGGTGAGTAAGGGGCTGAAGTTTCATGTCTTATGGCATTCTTACTGAGCAGTGACTGGAACTCTTTGGCTGTGTACTCTGTGCCATTATCTGACCTGACACACTTTATTTTCCCATAAGGGGCCACATCAGCAATAAACTTCTCAGTAGCTTTTACAGTATCACTTTTTGCTTTTAGGAAATACACAAAAACTTCCCCTGAATAATCATCCGTAAATGCTAGAGTATATCTGAACCCATCTTTCGCCTCTGGCTCAATAGGGCCAGCCAAATCAGTGTGCACAAGCTCAAGAGCTGCTTTTGCCTTTTCATCAGGCTCTCTGTTTCTGCTCTGAACAAATTTTCCCTGTGTGCAGATTTCACAGTTGAGGGTAGATTTGTCAATCTTACCTGTGATTTTCATTCCCTCTGTCACATTTTCTAACTTTGACACATCCTCAAAATTACAGTGGCCAAGAATTTTGTGCCATGTGTGAATATCATAGCACCCATGACAGCCATCATCATTTTCATCACTTACAGTGTTAAGATAGTAAAGTCTATCGTACTCCTCGATGTCAAAAGTGGTACCGTTCTTGTGGATGAGCTTGTTACACCCCTGTCGAAAGTTGACTGAAGCTCCGTTGGCTGTCGCTGCTTTAACAGAGAAAATGTCCTGTGGAAACGACGGCACGTACAGCGCCTTCGTCAGCGTTGTTTTCACCCGACGACCCGTGTTGTCTCTCAGGTAAACCTCCGCTGCACCTCTCCTCTCCGCGACACCATTCGTTCTTGTTCCGTCAGCCAGCTCCACGGAATGTTTTTCCGGTTTGAAAGTCTCGTCAAACTCCTTAAACTTCCTGATGTCCGTGACTATATGTGACGTTGCTCCCGTATCAACCATCAGCCCTTTATGTTTCAGTCCACGAACCTGACAGTCACTTATTTTGAATGCAAATGTGTGGCCTTCAGCATCTGTTGCTTGTTTCACATTGTCTCTTCTTTTTCGTCTGCAATTTGCGTCAGTATGAGTGGAGCGCTTGCAAAAACTACACCACTGTCTCCGTTCTCTGTGCTCTCCAGTAACTGTACATTCCCGGGCCTTGTGCCCTTTCTGGCCACAGTTGAAGCAGGTTATCTCGGTCCCTTTATCTCTTCCTCTTGGCCAGCTAACTTTAATGTTACTTGCCTTCATCACGTTGTCGTCAGTGGAAATGGCGCTAAACTTCTCGGTGCTTTCACAGCTCCTCAACTTGGTTTTGAACTTGCCATAAGTTGTCGGCTCGTCACTCTGCGTTATGTGGATGGCAAACGGCTTAAATGATTCGGGCAAACCTTTCAGAATCATTGCAATCAACAGCCCGTCACTTAAAGTCTCTTCAGCATTCCTCAGTGCTGTAATAGCCGTCTCAGCACGAATGATATAATCCGTAACACTTTCGTCACTGGCTTTCTGAAGAGAAGTTAGCTCAGTGTAGAGGCTAATCACACGTGGCTTCCCTTTACCTGCATAATGTTCCCTCAATATCTTCAACGCTTTTCTCCCATCATCTGCTGCTTCTCTCATTATCAGGGAAAGACTTTTATCATCCAAAACCTGTATCAATTCGGCGTAGGCTTCTTCATTTTTCTCTCCGTCTTCTTCATCTTCATCCACGCTCAATATGGTGGCCTTTAGCCCTAGCAAACGCAAGTGTCCCAAAAACTTCGTCTCCCATAACTCGTAGTTTTTTTCATCTCCGTCGAAACATAATCTATTCCATCGGCTTCCATATTCCCTCCTGGGCCCATAACCTGTTGGTGCTGTCATCTTCAGGACAGGAATACCGGCTTACTTAACGGAGGAATAAACACACATGTTCATCGTTGGTGTTTCAACCAGAACGTGGGAAAATGCCCTTTCTTTATTTTCGCACATGCGCAGTTGTACATCTCTCATAGGGCATAACTGTACCAGTGTAAGAACACAATTTATAACATATTAGTCTATATGTTAACAGAAACCTTAGTTAGTTACTGACATAACAAGAGAAAACTGCTGATGCACAACCACATTTTTTAATTGCGCCTTGTGCATTCTACTATTCTAACGCTCAACAGTAAATTGAGACCCTGACTGAGTTCCTAAAACTAAATGGTTTGGGGGCCCCCTAGCGGCCGGGGGCCCTAAGCAAACGCTTATGCCTGGGGCTGGCCCTGGTGGTTGGCATTAAGCTGTAATTAAAACACAATGACACAACTCTGCAGCAGTGGAACTAAGGGACCTACAATTCCTGTTGAGTGCATGCTGTTCTCATTTGACTTTATTGCATCATTTTTCTACATGAACTGAACATCATGATACTGTATGTCGGAGAAGCTTGCCTCTTAGTACATTTCCTGTTTGAAAGCATGGTTTCTTATCTTGCATCACCCAGAGCTTTAGGACACAGTGTGAACCCCGTTACGATGACTCTCATCCTGTACTACATAAGAAATCCCAAATGCCTTTGGAGATTATTTCAAATGCCATTCCCATTTCATAATCTTGGAAGCAGGTCAGGATGTCAAGTAGGGCTCCCTATCATTGCATGATTTAATATGTTGCAGTAATTGAAATTTCTGTGAGGGTTGAATCATTCTTGTTCTATATTTTGTAGAGCATTGCAAATTGTACTTGATTTAAATGTTTTATCATGTTTTATTATCTGTGGCATGAGAATGAGTTGAGTGCTGCAAGGCTGAAGGAACAGTTATCATGATGAGATACAGTGCCTTCAGAAAGTATTCACACCCCTTGACTTTCCCCACATTTTCTTGTATTACAGCCTGAACTTTTAGATGTTTTTGTCCACTTTGACATTACAGAGCATTTTGTGTAGATCGTTGACAAAAAATTACAATTAAATCCCAATTTATAACAAAAGAAAATGTGGAAAAAGTCAAGGGATGTGAATACTTTCTGAAGGCACTGTACAGGATAATAACATACCTCAGCCTCTGAGAGAGAGAATGAAAACATCCCGTGCGGTGCTACACATATGAGAACATTACAGCACACAGACCTTTTCACCTCACAACCTTTCCCAAATTCGACCTCTGGTGCCTTTAGTGTGGTTCATAATTTGCAATTTTCAATGTTTCAATCGTGAGCAGCTGCTTCACCCGTCGCAAGTACCTGGATGATCACATAGGCAGAAAGCATGGGTCTTTAGAGCAAATTAATGAACAGGAGGATGAACAATGAGAACTGAGTTTTTAGGTGTTGTGACTTCATGTATGTAACTTGTAATATAAATATTGAAGATCAGGCAAAGCTGGATTGTTGCCTAGCAGTTTCTCGGGCCCCGTGTAGCTCAGTTGGTAGAGCATGGCGCTTGCAACGCCAGGGTTGTGGGTTTGTTTCCCACGGGGGGCCAGTATGAAAAATGTATGCACTCTAACTGTAAGTCGCTCTGGATAAGAGCGTCTGCTAAATGACTAAAATGTTAATGTAAAATGTGATCCAATGTTCAGATTATGGAAATGTGTGTGTTGCATACTTCCTCTGTTCAGGGTAATGTGTCAGAGTAACCAATTATCTACATACAAACATATTTTTCAAACATGTTCTAGAGCAGGGTTCTTCAATTCCGGTCCTGGAGGGCCGAAACACTTCTGTTTTTTATTTCTACCTGGTAGTTAATTGCACTCACCTGGTGTCCCAGGTCTGAATTAGCCCCTGATTAGAAGGAGAGGATGAAAAACAGAGGTGTTTCGGCCCTCCAGGACCGGAATTGAAGAACCCTGTTCTAGAGGAACACTGAAGAAAATTCTGTAGAAACATTACAGGAAAACCGCTGGACGGTCAGTAATGTGATCTACCATAGCAGTCTGTGCCAAGAATAAAGAAGTCCCCATTCCGGCTGCATTTTGGCTGTTATGAGTCTTGAGTAACTCAGTTGTGTAGTTATCAAAAACCACCATCAGAAAAATGTGATATTACTTTTTATGGAACATGGACCACAACAGTGGGGTGGAGTGGAGTAGGGGATACTTGTGTTCTGAGTGAAACATTATTTCACAGCCTATCTCATCAGATAACACCCACTGAACTCTAGTGAGCAGGCCTGGCACACTCTTCCAGTCTCTCCCCTGCCTGGCCTGCCCTCGATATTATGAGTCTTCTAGAGGCAGACATGTCCTGGCTTGTCCTCAGATGAACACCAACACAACTAATGTGCTGAGATGCTAAACATGTTTATTAATATTTGTACAACTATGTAGTGTCAATATACCAATGCCATTGAATCCCTTGCAAAAAATATTGTTTTAAAATGTTGTGAATCCTTCCCCAGAAACAATAGGAAACAAAAACATTTGAAGTATATATATATTTATTAACAAAGTATCAAAAACAGAAAAATCAACAGACAGAATAGAATTGAGTACTTAATTGGTTTCAGCGTGTGGTTTTATCTGACTTGATACAATTTGATCTTTCGCATTCCACTCAAATACTTTTAGTGAACAATGTTTAAGTGATAGAAAGAATGGATGGTGAAACAGAAAAACAAGACAGGTATTGAAGAACATAAAACAGGCGTGTCACCCTTCAGTAGTAAGCCATCAGCCATGACTAGCTTGCATGTTTGAACACGAAACACTGAACTACACAAAAACAAATAAAACACATGGACGCCTGCGTCTCTCACAGTCTTCCTCTCAACCGTTTACTCACAAACACACACAAATAAACATTCCCTTACCATAAACCACACATGTTATTTTGAGACATTACAGAATATAGAAATAAAAGCTACTATTGATCATAAAAATTTGTTGTTTGAGCAGTGAGCCCAACCAGAGTTTCTCGTTGCGCAACTGTCCTGTGACGACGTCGCAGCACAACCAACGGACTGATGGGAGAGGGAGGAGGGTTGTTTGGCAGTGACTTGGTAATTGCAGCCAAACACTGAGGCAATTAATGTAATCTTCCAAGACTTCAAAGTGAAAACCTAAGACAAGCAGAGTGCTAAATAATTCCACTTAGATATCTAACTACTTATACCTAGTGGTTCTATTTTATAAGTCCAGCTTCAATAATACATACAAACACCTTTTTGAAGACAATAGGCAGGTGTAAGTTGGTTTACATATATGTTATACAGTAACAACATTACTTTATACATGTGAACTAAATGTAATAGGAAACACACAAGCATAGCTTCAACATTTCCGAGAAAATACTACAGATCACTACGAAATCAGGGCCTATTCAGAATACACCAGCTTACAGCAATGTAATGACTGATTTTCAAGAAAGTAGTTCCAGGGCTAACAGTGCCATTGTCTGTCAGTAAGTTAAATGAAATGCTATCTAAGTGAATCCACATTCCATGCACTCCTTTTATTGTCCTCTTACTTGAGGGTTCCTGTGATATGAACTGTTCCTGTATAATCTGAGTTAGTAGTAGTAGCAGCTTCAGAGGTTTTTGTTAGGCAAGTCAAGGGGGAAGAAAGTGAGCTATAGCCACAGCTAATACAGAATATATTCAATAACAGCAAACACTTCATACAATGTATGCGAAAGCCTTTCGATATAAATGTAATAACACAGCTATCAATGTCGCACACAGTACATAGCCATTACTATCTCTCCACATTTATTGTGTGCCATAAAGATAGCTTATACAAGTAGTATTTTTCCTCAACAAGCATATATCTCAACTGACCAGTGAAATCATGTGCCTTTACCACATTGACGTCATGCTTTGGTACAAAAACCGAGAACAAGCCATTTACCTCAAATAAAAGTGTAAAAGATTTAAGGAAACAATAAATACATTCTATGTATTTCTATGTTTTAGTGCTTTGACATTCACCCTATGTGCCGGAAAAGCCCAAGCCCACCCTAGGTGGAACACGGGGTGTCTGTCCTTGTGCTGTCCAGTCCTTCCTCTTATCATCAACCCAGCAGCAGTCACTATGTTGAGGAGTGGAACGTGCAAAGCTCCTTTGCTTTGACGGCCTGACAGAGCCTTCACTTGATGCAGGTACAGAGTGCAGTAGCCAGGGGACGGTGAGTGTTTGAGTGAATAAGTAGTACCCTACTACCCCAGAGTGTGTGGATCAGAGATGGCCACAGGCGGTTGGCACTGAGATGTGGCGGTGGTCCAGCTGACCCATCTGCAGGGTTCCCTCCTTGATCTGCTGGATGAACAAGTTTCTCTCGTCCTCAGGGGTCTGGCCGTTCTGGGCCCGTACGATGCAGGTGGGCCGGTGGCGGTTCAACATGTAGACTAACTGCTGCTTCTGGTTCTTCAGCTCCTCAATTTGGGCCTTCAACTCAGCGTTCACCACCTCTAGTTTCTCAGACTCCTGGAATAGTAGTTTGGTTAGATCCTGTTAACCATGTTGGTAAATGTTTTGAATACTCAATTATGTTTAGTGCATTTGAGTTTGTATGCAAATAATTACGTTGAGCCCTTACATAAAAAACGGGAGCCTCTACCCTTCACTTTAGTCATAAAAAGAATGGGAGACTAAATAGAAATGATCATTGAGGCACATTAATGAGGCTCTAACTTTATTTGGAAAAACGTTTTGAATAAATAAAGATATGGCATAATATAACACTGTATGTCTACTTAACAAATCACAAAAGACCCACAGTCTGTCTGGCAGCCTCTGGGTAAAATGTATAATCTCTCTCCATCCTAATAAGGCTGTACTGCCCTTTAAAATACATATTGAACCTACCTTTTGCAGACCATCAGTTTTCTCCTTCTTCTTATTCCTACATTTGGCAGCAGCTACTTTGTTTCTTTCTCGTCTTCTTTTCCTCCTCTCACTTTCTTCTGGGGTCGCCTAATACACACATCGGGAAAATGAACAACCTCGAATAACAGCACCAAACTAGTGTGTGCTGCAATGTGTTGGTAAACCTGTAATTACAGTGTTCTGTATAGCTACGAATTAATTTTCCACCATCTCACACGATTCAGTGAAAACTTAGGCAATTACAAAAAAAAGGCCCCTAATGCCATTTACAATGTAATAATTACTATTGGCTTTATGGGGGCCAAAAAAGTACTGAAAAGGAGTAGATATTACAGTACGCGACTAATGTCGACATCCTTACCTGTCTCTTGACACTTGTGGCTTCTGACGGTCTGTCTGAACTTGAGCTTGCACAGTCGCTCATGATATCGGTGCTCAGTCCGTTGGACAGCCGCCTGTTCTGGATAGCGTAGCGCAACTCTTCCTTTACCAGGGGAGTGAAGTTGGTGAAGTCCTCGAGCGTGAGTGTTCCAGGCGGGGACAGGCAGGTTACAAAGGCTGACGCACTGATCTCAGACAGGCTGAATCCCTGATGCTGAAGCATCATTATGAAAAACTGAAACAAAAAGTGGTGCTCGGTCACATGAAGCTTACTCAAATCTAAACAAAAGCAAGAACATAACCCTTGGACGTTGGACTGAATATAACGTAAGATGAGCAGCAACATCTGGCAAGTGGGCAATACTTTTAATAAAAGCTTCTAGAAAAAGTTTGTTCACGTCCATTTGGCTCAAAATGTTGTTTCTTGCAAATGTATACTATTGGACTATTTTTCAAATATAGGCCTACAAAAGACGGATAGCGTGTTCTCTGTTATGGGTGTGATACCTAGAGGCTACGTCGCTACAATTCCACCAGACACAGCAGTTAAAGTTTTCTACATTGTAGCCCCCAACATGCCAAAATTACAACAATGTAAAAATACCAGCAAATACATCACCCTGTTAAACAATGTAACAATGCGTGTCACTTTTAGGGACAGTAAATGTAACATCAACCCAGTTACGAGTAGCCTAAGAATTGTACATTTAAGTCCGTTTTCTTTATGAATGGACGTCGGTCCGTTTTACACTATGCAACATTTCGACTGTTGTGGGCACCCTACGCGGATCTTCTGAAAGCACTTCTATCCCACACCGGAATAAACTTCTTAATAAGAAAATAGACCTACCTGATTATGTTTTCAGTGAAGAAATTGTGTTAGACGTTGAAAAGCATTTATTCGGCTCCTGGTTGTGAGACTCATCTGTTCTGTTAAGAAAGTTACAGTTGTCGACTGAGCGTTGCATCACCCGTTTTTATAGTGGACTCCTCGGCATTTACTAGTTGGTGGGCTGGTCGTGGTGACGTCATCCTATTTATAGCACTGTGGAAGCTTAGTTGCGATGATGCAATCCAGCAACCCTTTGTAGCACACCATAAAAGGTCAGGCTCAACCCCCTTTACTCACAAGGAATTTAATTCGTAACATTTCATACTAATGAGCAAATACAGACATAATAGTTGAATGATCCGAGGTGTTTTTTGTAAAGTCTATAGATCTTATTGGCTAGAGTAAAAAAAAGCAAATGGACGTTAAAGGTATACCTTCAGTGAGGGGCTTGCCCAGCTCCCTCTTATCATATCAGTCATATCATATCTAGCATTCAGTGCATGGGTATGTCTAGGATACTAGCAAAAAGAATAATAACAGTAATAATAATAATAAAACCTAGTTTATCAGGGAGCTTCCATGAAGTAGCATATTGCTTCTAAATTTAGCTTCTGAATAAAGTAAATGTACATTGAACTACAGTAATATTTTCAAAATAAGGATTTGCAATTCAAGGTACTGTAAATCATTTAATCTTTGTGTGCTTTGTGTTGCTTTTGGATGCTATGTATTACTTAAACCCAAATTACTTATATTATTGAAATATTATAATTGTAGATGTCATATTTGATGTTAATTACATGTTTATTACATAGTTATTAATTTCAGTTAATTACACATCTTGAATCCTATGAGTGGCCAGGTGGACAGGTCAGCAGTTTATATATATTATGCATGAGCTATGGTCTCAATCTTACAGAGGAAAGTGAATTATGGTCTCATGGAAAAACAGATATTTGGAGGACATGATAACAGACATAAAACCCCCACTATCCCATGGTATCTTTGTTTGATTCCAAAATAAGGTTAAACTGATAGGAAACTGTGGCAAATCATGCTAGTGAGACTGTGAAGTTACATAGGGTTCACTGCTTTCATTTCTTAGTTGGAAAATCTTTCAAATGTGGGTACAGATAGATCAGTTTTAGTTTCTCAGGCTAGTTAAAAGTTTTACTGACAGTATATATGAGATATAAACTTCTAAGTCTTACTTGCATTTCAAGAGTTCGATACTTTTGCGAGGGGGCAAGGTAAGTTTTAGTTTTATTGTGTTTTGTATGTCATAAACATAAAGTGAGGATGGATGAAGACATTTTCAAAATTATGTTTTAATATATGAAATAGCTTTTGAAATCTTGGTAATTATTCATAGGTAGTAGTGGCTATAGTTTTGTCTCTGTTCAAGCTGTGCTGGCCTCTTGGAGAATGGTGGTTGGGAGTGAGCAGTAAGCGAGGACTGCATTCCTCTAGTTGATGTGAAGTGCGGCTTTCTGGTGATAGTCAGGTCAGCCAGTCTCCCCTCCCGTCCCCTCCCTTGCCTGATCCCAGCTATTACCTTTGTGTTCTGGAAACTTCCGATCCTATCTCCAATCCTTCCACCATTCGTCATTGCTACCCCTTCTGCTGGCTGCTGGTTTCATTTGTTTCTGTACAGACACATTGTTACCAGGGAGCCATATCATAGTCAGTGGTGGAAAAAGTACCCAATTGTCATACTTTAGTAAAAGTAAAGATACCTTAACAGAAAATGACTCAAGTAAAAGTAAAAGTCACCCAGTAAAATACTACTTGAGTAAAAGTCTAAAAGTATTTGGCTTTAAATATAATTAAGTATCAAAAGTAAATGTAATTGCTAAAAAATACTTAAGTATTCAAAGTAAAAGTATAAATAATTTCAAATTCCCTATATTAAGCAAACCAGACGGCACAATTTTCTTGTTTTTTATTTAAGGATAGCCAGGGGCACCCTCCAACAGGCCAGACCGGAGGCAATAGGGACGACCAGGGATGTTCTCTTGATAAGTGTGTGAATTGGACCATTTTCCTGTCCTGCTAAGCATTCAAAATGTAACGAGTACTTTTGAGTGTCAGGGAAAATGTATGGAGTAAAAAGTACATTATTTTCTTTAGGAATGTAGTGAAGTAAAAGTAAAAGTTGTCAAAAATATAAATAGTAAAGTAAAGTACAGATACCCAAAAAAACAACTTAAGTAGTACTTTAAAGTATTTTTACTTAAGTACTTTACACCACTGATCATACTATTGGAAACATCACTATGTTGATTTTCCATATTGGAAGCTTTGTAGACATCATACTGTCGTATAACAGTGAACTCCAAGGTGCATACCTGACATGTGAAATGTAATGTTAACTAGACGGCTTCCCCAAACATGGATATTTACTTTAGGCTTAACATGTTTTGAATGTGAATTGTAGGCTACTTAAACAATAAATGTAAGGGTGTATACAAAAATAGTCAAAGTTTTCTAAGCACTTCAAGTGTCCTAAAAAAGCCATAAAGAGGGAGATAAAAAAAGAGAACAGGAAAGGCAGCATGTTTAGGTTTAACCAACACCTCAAAGTACATTTGAAGAGTGATTCTTCATAACAAAATGTATTGATTTGATTTACTTTATCTGGTGATGAGATCATTGGGACCTTTATGTGTCATGGTTATTTGTGTGTTGTTGATATATGTTTTATACCCTCTCGGAAAGTTCAAGGCATATAAACAGTTACGCTGAGCCAAAGACCCTGAGCAGTTTTCCAAACATACAACATCACCCAATGCATCTAAACAGCCTGGCCTCCCAAGATATAATCATGTCATAGTATTTTACGTCTCACCATACGTAGGCAGACAGGTGTTTCAAAGGTCTAGGGTCATGCCGACCCTCAAAAAGATGTTGGGGCTGTGATACCATCACATACTAACCCCACTTGCTATTTATACTGTATGATCAAATCTGGCTTGCAATATCATTTAATGGCTCTCAATTTAGTATGACAATAGAACATTTTGAATTAATGTTTTGTTCCTCATGGTATATGAAGACATTTACTTCCTTAAATTATGTCCTCTTATTCATCAATTTAGAAGTTTCTGGAAGAGGCAGGATGTTTTGTCATTTTGTCACACTTTCACTTTAGCTTCTTCTTGTCATGAACTGTGACCCTCACAGTTTGTGGACCATGTGAAAAGCAAGCAGGACTGGTCGGTCACAAAGTTTCATTACACGTGAAACACACAGGCATCTCTCCGGGCTGTTTCTGATTCCCTAAATCTCTTTAGCAAATGATGGACAGAGGGTGAACATTAACTCATGTTGTGCAACTATAAATGTCCATCCATCATGACGAAGCAAATGCAAGTGTATGGCTTGCTGGTTTACTTCAACAAAATGTTGATGTTTGTTATCCAGGCAGATACATTGGGCTACCAATCATTATGCTGTTGTGTCCCGCCACATTTTACACAGTTTAGAAAGTTTAGCTAATTTTTTATCACATAAGTAAGTTGATAAAAGTTGTTTTGCAAGATAAAATATCCATTCCATACAGCCTGTCATGATATTTTATTATATATTCTATTCTGTTTGTTTATTCAATAGGGGTAATATGTAGGCTATACATTTACATTTTCTGCCCTTAATTTTGTTTAATTATAGGAGCAAATCACTATTTTGATGTGGCATCACTTTAACTTGTATTTCATCATGTGACAGCTACAATAGACATACCAATGTTGATTCACCATAGTGATATGTCCTACATAACAAAACATGGTTCTTCCTTGTTGATTCTGACAAGGAGCAGAATACGAAATCGTTTCCTGGAAGTGAACCTGCCTTTAGCGTAATAGGCAACCAGCTGTAACGTGGGAAAACGAATCCCCCCAAAAATATGTCACGCGACAGAGAAAAGGTAGAAATTATTTGAACCGGGTTCGAGGGGTAGGCAGTCAGGCTATAGAAAATGCACTTTCGATCTGAGTGAATCACCACCCCATTCCAGTAAGGCGCAGAACATTAGTCATTACCTGCTAATGTTGTGCAATTCACCTGCACCGAGAAACGCTCCAATCTAAAAAAGTAATATTACGGTTCGGGTATTCAGCATTAACGTCGAAATAGAAACATTTAACCCAAATCGTTGGGTCTCGTTTTGCCGGGATGTGTAGTTTATAGATATCTCCCACCATCAACAGTAGCCAGAATTCCATGATTATTTGGAACCTGTTTTGTGAACATTTGCTGAAGAAATAGGCAAACATAATCAACAATATAAGATCAATTAATGAATTAGGATTAATAGTAGTAATAATAATATAAATAACAATAATACATGTATTACATAATAATATTAAAACAACCTTTGAATATGACATTAATTATTATTAATGGTATTAATCAACAATATTATACCATACCATTGTTGTAGGACTTATGCCACAGTATTTATCAAGAGGGGCTTCAGAAGTGTCTTTACTTAGTTTTTCTCCTTTATAGAATGTGTTGACAGACCTCTTGGTCCATCATAGCTGGTTAGTTGATAGTTATCTAGTGTTGCTGAGGCCATAACCCATGAGGTGTCTTATTGAGTATATTGAACAGTGAGTGTCAGAGACTTCCCCACATTAGTTAATATGAGATCTAGGGAAACACTAGTGATATTCAGACACATTGTTCAAGGTCTCAGTATTATGAGGCCCTAAATTAGGATTGTCTTTAATAAAAATATTAACCGATGGTTAGCAGTAACTTCCCTCTGTATGTTACAAAGGTCACTGAAATCAGGAACTAACATGTACTGCCCTTTATCTCAACCACTATTGCAGCTATAAGGATCCTGTGAGCAATGGTAGGCAAAGGTGATGGCAAAAATTAGTCTAGATGTAAATAGGCTCAGTGACACTCTGTGACGTTGCGCTTTCAAAAGCCAAAGTTGGCGAGATGAGCTCACTATGTCGGGACATCGACTGACACGGTAGTCTTTAAATAATTGTTTGTAGCTTCCTCAACACTGTACATTGGCATCGTGCATGGACAGCAGAAGTCATAGTTATTTATAAAGCAAGCCCCAGTTAAATCAGTACTACCTCCTCCAGTGTGCTCACCCT